CCTGCTGAAATTAAAGAGCTTCCTGTAGAAGTTAGATGTTACAGAGAGGAGCAAGAGCTGATCCTTAAAAAGTTAATTTTCGAAGACTCAAACAAAAGAAGCTGTACAATGAAATGATTTAATCTTTAATTGTAGCAGTTTCAGAAGTCAAACAAACCTGTAGCAGCATCCAGAACATTACACTGCATAACTTAAAGTCAAGCTCTCTGCTAGTGTTATGTAGACCAGGCTGAAGCTTCCAGCCTTTCTTCTCACAGTAGCTCCTGATGTTGAACATGTCTCACTGCTAGTAAGTCTATCTACTGCTGCATAATTCCTCCTTTTAAAGATCCAGAAATAAAAGTACAGTAATGCAAATTGTTTCTTGCACTGATCGGATCCTTACTCCTGTTTTATAAGTCACTCAAAATCAAGGCTGTATCGGTGAAAACACTAGATGTTTAGTGATACCAGGAAGCAGTTTTATGTTTTGGCACTCGTCAATATGCGGCAGAGTGCAAACAGGCGTTCTATTCATAAAAGTACAATTAAATCAGAAGACATAAAAAAGGCTGGTTAAAGATTTGTAAAGCCAGACGTCACTGGTAAGCTTTTAAGTAATGTGAGAACAAGCCCTGTACAGTACCTGCTAGTGCAAACTGAAAAGATTTTTCGGTAGGTTTAAACAACTTTTCTCTTTTATCCACTTTAAGTCTTAGCATGGTTGAAAGCTATGCTAACTCAGCTCTTGAAGGCATAGCACAGGAATAGACTGGAAGATGTGTAAGGACTAGGACAAAATAACTTCTACAGCAGTTGGAGGCATTACTGAAGGTTTCTCCTGTTTCTGACTGTATGAGGGGAGCTTGGTCAGAACCGCTGCTTGGCTTAACCTGTTTATCTTTCATCCTTGATGGCACTGGTCTGGTCACTGTAGTATTGTTCAGAAAATCTAATTTTCAGAACTGAGTTTTCTGTATAAAGGGTAAGGAGAGAAGACAGGTTTCATACTCACCCTGTACAAAAACTGAAAGGAAATAGAGAAAAAAAATCCACTATTATTTATGAGTTTTGGAATTTACTGACTGTTTATACAGGATTGCGATATGGTGGTTTTGGTAGAAATATTCTTCTTGTAGAACTCAGATTTTTAAGAATAATGAGAATTAGTGAAATGCATTTCAGAAAGTGTCATCTCTCAGGAAAGATGAGTTTAGTAAATGACAATACTCAGTCCTTATATTAAGTTTGATCACTAAAGGCAGCAAAGTGTTATCATGACCATCAAAAGAACAGTAAACCCTCTATGAGGAATACAACAGTAGACTGTTATCAAGTGTGTTAGTTTCTGTACTGAACAGATCAGAAACACACACCGAGAATGCTAATTTAAGGCTCTTTAACATGTTAATGCAAGCAGTGCATCAGGGAATGCTTAATCAAAAAAACAGTAAGACTATACTGCATGGAGTATCACTACATATTTTTTTCTTGCATGCAGTGTAATAATGTGAATATGAATGTTAACTCTTACTCAGTAGGGAGACCAGCTCCACAAGGTAGAAGGCAGTGTCTCACACCATAAAGTCAAAATGTCCTATACTGTTGTCCTGCTGCATACAGTCTTGCTTTTTATCCTTTATCGTATGTAGAGTGCATGTTTCTGTGACAAATGACAGCGGCTTAATGGCACAGAACATTTTCCTATTGCACAGCTGGGAGCCAAGAACAGCTCTGTAACATACCCGCCATGGATTGTCTTCCTAAATACTTAAAACAGTTGAAGTCCACTGGTGCTGGAACTGAACATACTGTGTTTGTTTTTCTGCACTCAGAGGCACCACTGGAATCCACCTTCCCTGTCAGATCATAAGGTCCAGGATGAAGTTGCTCAGTGCCTGTGACACAGGCTGTTTACTGTTGCATCAATTTTTGAATAATATTTTGTCACATTACACAGAGAAAAAAATCAGTCTGTTTCTTAAATTGATCAAGATTGACAATAGCTGCAGTTTTTCTCTCTTTCCTAATGCCAGACAAAGCATCTGCATATATCTCTGGGTGTCATTATTTTTGGACCATCCAAGGCAGGGTGAAACCTGAGTGAAAGACAGTGATCCATCAGTCAACAATACATCCTTCTGTGAGGGAGTGATAAATCGTGGTTCCACTCACTAGCAGATTTTTTTCCCTGCTTCTGTTTCATTATCATGAGGAGAGACACAAACTATATTGCTCTTTATTTTATGTGGCTATTCTCAGTATTGCCAGTGAGAAAAACTAGGAATTCATGAGAGAAGGTTAAAGATAAGCACGTGTGTCTGCACACATATATGTGCATGCATCTGTGTTCTGACATATAAAATCCTACATGGGCATTTTTTTTCTTTTTTTCTTTTTTTTTTTTTTTAATATGAGCCCTGGGGCTTGTTCTCACCGTAATGATGGCTTGACTGATCTACACTTGGTAAAGCTCCTCTTAAGTTAGCCTGACTTGAATGAGAAAAGTTGTGCTTCAAAGTAGTGGTGTTTGGATAAGCAACAGAGCAGTTATGTCTTGTCTCATTACCAGCTCCAGAGCTGGCTGCATGTTTGTACACTGGCTTTAAGCCACACTTCACTTACTGGCCAAGTAAAATCAAGAAACCAAATTTTTCTTTGGAAATCTCCCTTCCATGTACTACTTCAGACTGTTCCTGCTGGAGGAAACAGGCAAAAAAGGGAAAGATTGCCATTGTTGGAGGAATTATTAGCATTCATCCAGCTTGCCCATTTTTAGGTTCAAAAATGAAAACTGAAGAAGGGAAAAAGAAACACTAACTCCTGGCAATTTTTTTATGATATGGATATGCCAAGTTCTGTCAAATGAAGAAGTAAATATTTGAGAATCCATGTCATCTTTTCATCCACACAAAAAACATGGAGAAAGAGTGCAAGAGAATGCAGAAGGTGAAAGGGAAAGGTTCTTATTTCGTAGAAATTGGAGATGAATAAGGTGCAGAGAGGCTTGCAACATCCAGGTGAAGGACAATAAGAGAGGAAAAGAGTAATGGATACGGAGAGAAGCTGCTGAAAATAAGAGGGAGAGGAATGTGAAAGGAAGTAAAGGAAAAAGAGAGAGAGACCTGAGAAACTACTAGTAGAAATAAAGACATGCAGGGATATTGTACGAAGTGACGTTGACTGGAAGATGAGAAGATGGTGGCATTGGCATAACATGGTTCAGGGCGATCCCACAGGCCCTTGGTGCTCTGCATGCCCACTACACTTGCTCCTGGGATGTTTTTCATCTGGGAGAGACTGACATTCACTTATAGATGTAGCAGTGTAACAGAGATGTCAGGCAATGTGCTCAGCTGGAGGCATTCTCATTCTTTCAGCTTGAGTTGTCAGGTGCATTGTTTATACTTGCAGTGGTAGATAACATCGGAGGTGCTGGGTGAGGTGGCTCTGTGGGCCTAGCAAGACTACTAGTGAGCAGTGAAAATTGCTCTTTTTTTCCTCTGCCCTCCTTGTTTAACCCTGAGAAGTAAGTAGAGATTTCTCCAGATGTACCAAGGACAGATCTCTCAAGTCAAATATACTGCTTTTGCAGTCACTTCTCTGATTTTAGTGCCAGTGTCTTCTTCAATTACTTGAAGATGAAAGCAGTAATTGCCAAAAGAAACCTAAAGAGAATAGTGCTGAACGATTGTTTTCCAAATCAGTAAATATTCCAGTAGGTGCATTTTTTATTTGTTTGTTAGTTTCTTTTGTTAGTTAAGACATTTAGAGTGCTTTTACTCATTCAGATGTTTGGAAAAGAAAGCTGACAGTATATTTTCAAAAAAAAAAAAAAAAAAAAGCTGTGTTAATTCAGAAAAGAGGCTAGAGAAACCACAGCAAGAAATTCTTAGTCCACCATCTCACATGAAAGCACATAGAAAAGTAATACTGTTGGAGCAGCAATGTGCACCAGGCATAGATCTAAATATTTCTGTTGGTAAGTGGTTGGCATTCCTACCTGTAAGGGATGTGAACGTCATGTAATCTCAAATTCAGTCAAGTCAGCTTATGCAGTGATTATTGATATGAGACTTCCACAGAAACCTAGGTTTCACAGCTCCCTTTTTGTAAGGTTATCTAGTTACACTGCTGAGATAAAGTCTTGATTATCAGCTGTTGTTTCACTGCAGTACTCCAAGCTGTTCCTGAATTTCCGGGCAGGGAAAGTATATCATACACATTTATCTTAGAATAAGTAAACATGAGCCAAAAGAATAAGATACGGTTTCTTACACACAAGTTTCTAGATAATTCAGTATATATATAAAAAACCCACTGAATAGCTCAGCTGTTTAGCCTGCTTCTTGCTTTTACTGGAAATAATAGTAAATCCCTCATCTTCTTCTGAGGTGATGATTTGGTAATGGAGGTGGCAGTGTGAAGTCGCTATCAGCAGGGTAAGAGTTAAGTAAAAATCTGTTTAGCAGAAATGTATGCAAGGGCAGGACTGCTGTATAGTAAAATTGCTTAGTCCAGCTGACAAAACCAGTCAAAGTTTTGTCAAAAACTAACTTAAATATTAAAAAATTTGTAGTTAGTTCAAAACTGACTTAAAATTTAAAAATACTAATGAAAGGAACTAGTTTTTAGACATTTTTCTGGATGGTTAGCTAGGGACTCAGTGTATTGCTTGTTAATTTTCATACACACATTACAAAAATTGCTTTCTCACAACTCCTCAGGATTTTTTGCGCCTCTGCCTGAATTTCAGGTCTCATTAGATCCTGTGGTCATCTTTCAGTGTACTTTGGTCTGTGAATTATTGTTCTGGGACTCTGTTGATACTGTTGTTCCTGGTGTATAAACTTATCTGTAGTTATTTATTAATCGTCTCATTATACTGATTGTGATATCATGATCTTTTTCAGTGTACCTTGAGGACAGTTTTGTGAAATCCGGAGTGTTCAACGTGTCAGAACTTGTGAGAGTGTCCAGAAGTAAGTTATCATTTGCATTTAATCATTTCCAAAGCCTGCTATAATCAAGTGAAGGTTTTTTCTTGACCTTTTTTTTCTCCCTGAGATGTAAGATTCATAGGAAATGCCGATAACTGGGCACAATTTCGATATCTTCGACCACAGCATTATGGTTCATCTTGCATGTGGTTGTAATAAACCAAACAGAAGTCTTCTTTTGGCTCTTCAATATTTAAAGATTGAATCAATTTGTTATGCGTCCCTCTGCACAGCTTAATGGACTGATATCTCAATAAAATTACCATATGTAACAAAACCTTCTATTTGTTAGACTTGCAGCTTTTTAAGGTTGTTCTGCACATCCTTGGGTTTTGCTAAACCATCTGATTATTCTTTTAGTTTGTTTTTGAATTTATAGCTCTTAAAAGAAAAATCGCAGCATGGATATAAAGGACGACTGACTTAACGTATTATACGCTTATGTTTCTTTTACTCGTAGCACTGGCTGTAATTGAATTTCTAAGTGTGTTGGCTTGTTTTGGCATCAGAAATGTTATGCACATGAACACAAGAAAAAAAACGTAATATAAAATATAAATATAGAAGGATAGATGAAGCTTTTATTGCAGAAAGAATATCCAAAATGAATATAAAGAAGATGGTTTGTTTTGTTGACATCTAAGAATTTATTGTAACAGTATGGCATAAAACCAGTTCATATTTTTGTTTGACATTTCTTTCTGAATGCTTCTTCCTTTAGTATCAACACTATTAAAGTATTTCTCTTAAGACTTCATTAGGAAGTGAACAAAAATACTTGAAAGATATAGTTAGAAGTGTCCACTGTGATGACACCAACATTATTAACAACTGAATGGTCCAGGAAAATCTCTTTTCTGATGAGACGAGGACAAAACCAGTGAGGCATAAGTTTCCAAAACTGTCTGTCCAAGTTTTGCACAGGAGTTAATTCATGCCAGGTCAGGATGCCTGAGGAATTTCATTAACTTAGTGAGGCTTAGGATGCATGTGTTACTTCATTTGCTATGGTCAGGAGTTGGTATTCAACAATTAAAATCATGTTGAGTCCTTCAACGAAATACTGAGCATTGCCTTCCTGCAGTGCTAAGACAGATTCTTTTTTGTGCTTGCTGAAGATATGGTTTTGCTGTTTTAGGAGGTCAAGGATGTGTGAAATACAGCTTTCTTCTAGCTGTCAGGTGGTTAAATACATTTTAAAGTATCAGGCCATTCAGGTTAGAAAAGAATCAATATTGTAGTTATGTTATGAAATCATATCTTCTGCAGCTGTTATACACGATATACTTTTTAAAGCATGTGGTTTCTGTGGGATTTCTTACCCTGCATTTGTTTAACCTCAAGCCGCAACAGAGTTGTACTTTAACTGTCAGGAAAAATACAAACCTTCAGATACATTACACAACATGCAATTACTCTTTTAAGTGCCAAAGGTAGTTAAAACGCACAATGCACAGACAGTGAACAAAGGTAAATACACCACAATATGTAACATATAATTTGTTCTTGAAATGCCAAGATGTACAGTACACAGACTCTGTAAGGAGGTGAAGATGATGCTGTGAGAGTGTGTGTGTGTGTGTGTGTGTGTGTGTAGTGTACATATACAAAGCAGTACCTGTGGCACTGAGCAAAAGAAAAAGGACGCAGCAAAACGTACTGTCAGCACAGAAGGCTGTTACTAATACAAAAGAGTTAAGGGAAAAAGAGTTTGTGTGTCCCCAAGTTTGTTCTTTCCAGTTATTTCAGGTGTTGAATAAATGTTAGCTCTCCTTATGAACCCTGCCTCGTTCATTGTAAAAGTCCTTCTACAGAAGGCTTGGCTTTGTGCCGAGGCTTGTGTTACCTTTTCATATTGATGATTGCAGGTTGTCTGTTATACAGCAAATATATTATGTCTGCATAACTGCTAAGGTATTATTACTCATTATTACCCTACTCCTCCAGGGGCTGAGGAAGATTCACTTTTCTAGATACATAAACATTGATAGAACTTGTCTCTGCTTGGTATCTGCAAGAGGCAGAAAATTAGATACGTCTAGTAACATCTTGATGTTTTTCCCAGTGTTAAAAATGAAAAGGTGGCTAAAAAGACAGAAGATTATCTTTGACTCGTTATGATGATGTGTTTTTCAGCACCCATAACCCAGGGAACTGGAGTGAACTTCCCAATTGGAGAGCTTCCGAGCCAGCCATATTACCATGATATGAACTCGGGTGTAAATCTACAGAGGTCTTTGTCCTCTCCACCAAGCAGGTAAAAACTTGAAATAAGTGCTAGTGTGAAACCAGGTTTAATAGTGTAGGATAAGCAACTTACACATACTGTCAACTGCCAACTATTTTACGAATTTCCTGTGATTTTATGAGGCAGGCAACTTCTGTATGTTACCATAATCTATGTACAGATATATATGTTACAAATCTTGTAGTTTGTAGTGGTGCCATTATTGCCTGTCGTTGCCGTTGATACCGAAGACGACAATTGTCAGGGTTTGAAGTGCTCACTTAACCATCTGCTGAGGGAACAGCTACGCATCCTGAAACTACTGCGGAGCTGCACGAAGGTCCAGCAGCTGGGAGCCTGCTGGCGGGGCCATGGAGTGGTTGCAGGCACAAAGCTTGTCTTTGAGGCCACCCTCTTGGACCTCCATCTTGAAAGATATGTTGGGAGAGACACTGTTTGCTGTGGAAAAGTTGTTAGGACAGGTATAAAGAGCCAAGGTGTCTTCATCCGTGACATCACTCCAGCTCATTAAAGTGTGTTTCCTGCCTCACCCTTATGAGGGGCATTTCCCAGCACAGTGGGAACAAGGAGGAACATGTGAGGTGTCCACAGGCTCTCCAGTTTTTCTCAAGGGTCTCTGTGTGCCTGCTGCAGGCAGTTTGATCTGAGGGACCCAGTTCTTCCTTGCTTCAACACCCTCCCTTCTCCCACTCTGAGCAAGACACCTGCCGGGCTCTGCTCCTGACTCCCAGGTAATCTACTGTCTGTCACAGCCCTGGGGCTCCTCGATGTTCTGAAACTGTACGAGGTGCCCTGAAATCATAAACGTTGTAGGACCTCTCATTGCCCCATGTCTCTGCACCCAGTGAGTCAGGAAGTGTCTGCACAGTGGGGCAGGATTTCAGAGGACTGTCAGGGGAATGGGGTGCTCTTCCACCAGCGCCTGGTGCTTCTGAGTTACATTGCTCGTGTTCCCCGGGTTTATTCCATTGTATTTCCAGCTTGGCAGTTCACCTAGTGTGTTTTAGAAATGGATAGGTTATGCCTGACAGTGTTGTCGAAATAATAATAATAATAACAACAACAACAACAGCAACAATAATCGTAATATCACTGTTAAAACCTTCATCCTGGTTTTCTTTGGCAGTCAGCATAACAGCTTCAGTGTATACTGTTACAAAGAAACTTGACTTCGCTGTATTGAAGTGCTGCCTCATTTTCTATAGTGTGACTTGAAATATGGGCCTTTTGTTGTTTTTAATTAAACTAGTCTAAAATGAAAAGTCTTTGTTCCAGGTTAGACCTCTTTGAAAAGCTTAGGATTTTGACCTGGTGAAATACAGTAAACTACATTTTTTCCTTATTAACACATTCAGAAAAGTTCCCGGTTTACCTTGACTTTATTACTAATACTTTTCCAGTGCTTTGTTTTGCTTTCATGGTTTCTGCGTAGTGTTTAACACTCTCGTGACACAAACTTTCTTTGCTAGGTTACAGGAACTGGCTCCTTGGGTGTTCAGCCATACACTGCTAGACTTTTATATGTTACCCATTCATGCCATCTCTGAAATATTAAATCATGTGAAAAATGCAAGCACATACCTGCATTACATACTGTTAAATAACATCTGCTATATAAGTTAAACTCTATACTTTTTGTGCTTTGTATGCCTGAGTTACTTTCTATTGAAACATTCATTGAAATCCAAACAGTTTATATACCACTACTAGCTGCATATCATATTCACTGCCAAATCTCACATTACTTCTACAGCAAAAGACCCAAAACCATCTCCATAGATGAAAATATGGAGCCAAGCCCGACAGGAGACTTTTATCCTTCTCCAAATTCACCAGCTGCGGGGAGTCGGACATGGCATGAAAGAGATCAAGGTGAGTAACCCAAGACCGTTTTACCTCGAAGTTTATTCAAATATACAATAAATCTCTGCATCTGCCTTTCCATTACTGGAGTAAAATGGTGGGTTTTTAGAATAATCATTCATTTTCTGTCTGGTATGTGTATTTGCTGGTTTTGTAAATGTAGTTAAAACCTACAGTCAACAGGATATGGTACAAACAACCACATAATAATTTTTCCGTCTGGTGACTGCCTTATCTGTTGTTTGAAAACATGGGTGGCAATTGAGGTACTTGATATTGTGCATGCTGTGAGCATCCCAGCAGGGTTTTGAGTACAATGGTTTCAAGTAAAAACCAAAACACTTCCATACTATGGTTGAGTCAACACTAATTTGCTCAGTTTTTGTTTCACCATGACAGACTCCTGTATGTGTGTTTAGTCCATGCTATGTCACTCAGAATAGGTCCAACAGGCTCTTTTCTGAAAAGCCCACACATAGCTCTGTGGGACTATGTCTGTATGCTAAAGGGTGTTGATAATCGTTGTTGTTTTGGCTTATCAGAAGCAAGGAACATGTTGGTGTGGAGAGGAAAGTTATGTCTGTCAAAACAGCCAGATGTAACTTTCCCTCATGTTCTCTTGGTTCTTTATAAACCTTGGTGCCAGTGTAGTCTTTTCCTTCACCTTTGTGACGTGAAAATGTGTTTAAACTCACATATATTTGAACAGTGCTGGGTAACGGATCCTGTGGCTGAGGTGCTGCAGCTGTTTATTCAGAGTGCCTGTGAAATGTACAGCACAGCATGTAAAAGTGAAATAGAGAAGAAGGCATGCCGTTGCTTCCTTTGCTGATCTTCCAATGTTTGCCCTCCTTTTCCCCGTCCACTGCTCATCATTGCTCTCATTTCTTCAGTAACAAACCAACCCTTTGGTCTTACCTCATTTTTCTATTGTTTTAGGGTTCTTTTTTTTTCTTCTTTCTTTATTCTCGCCTGCCTAAGTTTTCTTTCATCTCCATGTGCAAGGTAGCATGTGATTGGTATTTAATTTAGCTGCCTTTTGTTTTCACATTTTTGTTATAGTTGGTCTCCTTTTAATCTGCTTCTGCCTGCCCTCTGGTCTGTGTTTTCATCATTAAGCTGTTCCTCTCACACCATGTTTACTAGTGTTTTTCTTTGTCGTTTCTTTTGTGCTTTTCGTTTCTCATGGAGACTCTGATATTTTCTTATTTCTAGATGTTTGCAGCATTCGGTGTTGAATTTGTGGCTTTGCATAGCCAAACTAAAGAACAGCAAAATAGAAATTCTGCCAGCCAGAACCTTACCCTTGTGCAAAATCTTTTCCTCTGCGACTATTATCTGTTTTACCATGACACGTTATTACAACTTTTCATAAACGATAGGATTGTACCTCAACTAATTTTTGTGCTTTTAAAATAAATTGTTTGTGCGATTCTGGGGAAGACAGCCCATCATTCCTCTCTGAAGTGGTCTCCACATATCCCCCACTTGTGAAATAAAGTCCTTTTGTGCTGCTGAGTGAGCTGTAAGGGCTTCCAAGAAACATGGTGCCTTTAACTCTGTATATATGCTTCACAAACCAGGGAACTCCGAAAGATGAGAAAGAGAGAATAAAAGAGACTCAAATCAGTGTATTTTATTTTTGCTTCCTGGAGTTTACATTTCTACCTGAATATCTTGTTCTCCAGCACTGCTAAGCCTAATGAAATTTTATCAGATTCCTGACAGAGAGGTTGGCTTTGAGACACTATGAGGGACTTTGTTTTTTATGTCCTTAAGATGTTCTTCCATTCCTGCAGAGTGACAGATACACCACTGTCAGTCCAGTCTGAAAACCATTATACTGGGAGAACCATAAGCCTTTTGCCCCTAACCATTTGTGTTTGGCTTCAGTCACTTTCTGAGATTATCCTGCTGCTGTGGAAACACTGTAAGGTAGTGACTGCAATGCCTGTCCTTAGTACCTGGCCTCACTGGAGAGGGACATGTGGCAGCTCCTGGTGTATTTGTTCTGCTGCTAGTTTGTTAGATGCTTGGTATCATCTTCATACTAGCATGTGTCTATATAAAGCTCCTTTTGGACACAAAGGTCTTACCAGAATAAGATATCTGTGAAAACCTGCATTCTGTTTCCTTATGCCTGCAAGCACAAAGATGATATAAATAAAAGTTTAGAGGTGGATTCTAAGCCAGAGAGCTCACTGGTACTACTTTCCTCTCTCCCATGGAGATCTGAGTGTCATATGAGGTTAGGCATAAATGAAAAAAGAAGGAGAAGCAATTTGGGATCCCATTTGTGTTCATCCAGTGTCACCAGGGGATGCTCATGTAGTCCCAACAGGCACTGCTTTGTCCAGGCTGCCTCCAAAGATCATTAGGACCAGAAATACAAACCATTCCACAGTACCAACAAATGGGCTATCATGCTTATGAGTAAATGGCTTCTCTTTCACTCTCATGCAATTTTAACTTCTCTGAGAGAAACAAAATCGGAAATAGAGTTGATCCTAAGATATAGCATTATTGGTTTCAATTTCGTTGTCTTCGTTTTGAACCTGACAGAGCAAAGTCTCTAACTTTTGACCTGAAATAGATCTAGTTTCTTCATCTACATACCTAAGTGTCATGTATTTTCAAAAAAATTGAAACGACACAGATTTGAAAGATTCTTGAAGATGTCTTGAAGATATCATGAAGGCTTTTCGTATATATATTTAGCTGTGTTTGTAAAGTAGCAGAAATGATACTACTGTGGTAGTTTGGAACTGGAGCTAGTCACAATAAAACAATGGTAGCCAAAACAGGTTGGAGTAAAGTATTTGGGAGTTTCACACGTGTCTGAGGGATATCTAACCATTTTGACAGAGAGAGTGAGGTAAGATTAGTGGGTAAGAAAGAAATATACTAAGATTAAAAATGTGACAGATTAAACTTTGCAGTGGAGTGGAAGAGGTTAGACCATCCTTTTCTTGCTGTGAAGAACAAGTATCGTGTAGTTTAGTAGGTAAGTAGACATCAGGAGAGGAGTGATCCTGCATGACTGATTCTGTTGTAGTCCTCGTAGTTTCTACAGCTTCTCTGTTGTGCAAGCATGCATCATGAGGGATAGGAACATGACTACAGGAGAACTTGTGGTTTAGCTAGGATGTAGCATTTGTGAAACTAAGATAAAGAAATCTAGCCCAGCTACAATAAAAGCTTCCTCATACTGCACTCTACTTTCAGTTGTAAAATTCCAGACTTTGTCCTTTTGCTGTTATCTGTCTTCTTCCTGTTATAGTACTTCCAAAACTGTTTTGATAAGATTTCCAGATACTGTGTTTTATAGACTGTTTTAGGAGAGTTGGCTGTTTGAAGATGTAATTCTGGGCAGAAATAAGTAAGCATATCTCAAAAATGGGGACTTTAGATGGCATAAAGTTGGTCAAAGGCAATCCATGAGAGGTTATGAGCAGTGGCTTCATTATTCATTGCTGTAGTATTGTTATGCATGTTATTGTTTTGATATAAAATAGAAAAAACTCAAATTAACCAAAATTATTATTAAAAATAAATATTTATTTGTATTTATTGAAGTCAAATTATAAATACCTATGGAAGAAAAGAAAATTATATGAAGCCATTATACTATCCTGGAGGTTTACTTCATTGGCTTGCAAAAGTTTGTGACTATTTTAAAAATATATGTAACCACAAGAGTATGTGTAACAGTTTCAAAAACAGATTAAAAAAAAAAATTATGGTGGATTTACAATGTTGTTTTTGTGTTTATATGCATTCAATTATTGTGGGAAGATTCTGCATTTTTTTGCCATTATTTTTACAATGTTAAAATACTTAAAATATGACTCTATTTGCATGATTTTTTTGAAACAGGTGTGAGGTCTTCCTGCAGAGCAAATAGGCAGATTTTTAAGTACAGAGATTTCTCCCAAACTTTCTCTCTACCATTAGCCTTCGAAGTAACTAATCATCTTCCAAAAAACCCAGAGGCTAAGAAAGTGAAAAGTAATCTCTGAGAATGGTGCATTACTTAGAAATAGAGCCCTAACATGGAAATTAGGACTTCAATTTCTGTGCCTGCTGCCAGATCTTGTGGAAGTTACTTTTCTCTCTTGTACATTGTTTTTTTCCAATTGAATGTCTTGTTAACTTCAATAATGTCTGGATCATGTCTTACTTACATTTCTGCCAACTGGAAATATATCTAGATCTAAAAAGTAGTTTACTGTATATCTATTGCAGCCTTCCTTTTCCCAGGTTGCTGTTATTGAATTCTTTACATGTTTCTATATTAAACAAAGTTTTGAGTTTCTGTAGTAGTGTAGTGATACTTTGCAAAATAGATGGAAGTTGCTGCATCAGAAAGTTTGCTGAGTGTTTTAGAAATTCTGAGGAAGATTACATTTTGTACAGTTAAAAAAAGAAATCACCCTCCCCATTTGGAAGAGAAAGTTATTAAAAATATGACAAAACTAGTGACTAGTGCAGTGGATAAAAAACCCCTTCAGATCTAATAGGCTAAGAACTGTTGGTGAACATCTTGATTTATTAGCTGGTAAGTAAATCAGATACTTTTCCTTAACTTATAAGGAAACAGGAATATCAGAAGAACAGAGCACAGTGTGTGCACCTATGGCTTCCTTTATAAAAGATAGCTTGACAAAGTGCATTAACATAATTGCAGACAATTTCAGTATTTGTCCTTGAGATCTGTTACTGTTATAGTGTTACAACACTGTGTATGTTGTAAATGAATAAAACAGAGGTTATCACCAATGCACGCTAGTCATGATAAAAGTGGAGAGATTCATGTGGATTTCTGTAGCAGTCAGGTGTCTGGAAATACTGAATGTCAATATACAATGAAGTGAATTTTAATTTTACAGTTTCTTCAGCATGTTCACTCTCTTACACCTCACCCACCTCTACCAACAGTCAAGAGTCAAGATGCCAGCATACCATTAAAACTGAAACAGCTGGACCGCCTTCACCCGTTGATTGGCCAG